TTCTTTCTTTCTTTCTTTCTTTCTTTCTTTCTTTCTTTCTTTCTTTCTTTCTTTCTTCCTTTCCACTCTGTCTTTTCTTCCTTCAACAAAGAACATGAAGTTGGGTAGGGAGAGAATCTGGGAAGAATTGGAGGGCTGGAAAGAATATAATAAAAATATACAGCATTATATTGTCAAAAATAAAATAAAAGTAAGAAAGCAGGCAGAGCAAGCCATGGAGAGTCAGACAGTGGGCTCTGTTCTGCAATGGCCTATGTTTTAGTTCATGTCTCCAGGTTCCTTTCTTGAGTTCCTTCAGACTTCCTTCCCGTCATGATGTACTTTGAGCTATAAGCTGGCATTAACCCTTTCCTTCTCAAGTTACTTTTTATTAGGTCTTTGTTGCAATAATAGAAAGAAAATTAAAACACAAACCCTCATTTTGGCAATCCTTACATGACAAGACAGCTCTTACAATTAGTCCTAATAAACAGTCTTATATGCTGAGTTTTGCATAATAAAAAAGTTCTAGTTATGAAATACTTGACATTTGCTGTCAATTATGAAAGAATTTGAACAACATTTTGATTTAAGAATGATCTTGGAGTGAGGGTACACATCCATAGTCTCAAGAGAATGGGACAGGAGGATCATTGGAGCCCATGGATCCAAGACCAGTCTGGTAGCCGTAGTAAGACCCCATAATAAATAATAACAATAAAAGAGTATGCTATCAGAGACTGAACCATGCAACTTTGTAACCCCAGATGGATTACTTGACTTTAACTCTAGTGTTAGTGATACTTACAAACTGTATTCACCACTGAGTTTTAAAATTATCCAACATAGCAAAAGTAATTTATTTCTTCGAAATTCTGTATGTATGATCTCAACATTTTAATTGCGTCAGTAAAAGATGGAGAACATGTTTTGCCAAACGTGCACTAACAGAAGTATCACTCATTTCACTTTACAATGATGAAAATGTGAGTTGTGATTCTGTGGATTGAACTACAGATCTCCATGTCAGCTTGGAGCCCTAACCATTAGCCATTTTATTTGGAAGCAGTGGTTTTAAGGGGGTAGTATAGATTTCCTTGTGGTGTTTGGGACTGAATCCCAGCAAAGAATTTCTCTACCGCTCAATTAAGTCCCCAGCCTTGGAGTAAAAAGTGAGGTCATGTGACTTGGGCCCTGATCTAACAGAACTACAATATTTATACAAAGAAGCAGAGATGAAATATGAGGTTCTGTCTTCCTACTAGCTGGAGACACAGAAAGAAGGTGACCTTCCTCAAACTAGAGTGCAAGTGTTAGCCAGAGACTCAAAGTCTGCTGGCACCTTTAGGAATTGGGACTTCAGCCTCCAGAACTGGGAAAAAAGAAGATTCTGATACTTAAACTATTCAGTGTATTTCATGACAGTAGCCAAAGCTATTGTACCTGGAGCTATGATAAAATAAATAGTGAATTAGTGAATGAGTGAATATTGTTGATAAATATAGACTTAATCATTGCAAGTGAGATGTGGTATAAAAATTCCTACAATGCTACATCATAGATGTAATCTTATATTTTACCTTTTGTTAGGACAACTAAGAAATTTCATTTACCACCCGTTCTGAATGAAATCAGACTGATCTGAAGATCAAAAATCAGTAAAACAGCAGAAGGCATTGGTTGTGAGAACAATGTACCTTATGACCATCTCTCACACATTCTGAATTCTAGACACTTGGCAAGTCTATAAAAATGTCACTTATGAACTTTCTTCAATTGTCATATTTTACTGCCAGATATATTAATTTTCAATTGCATTTCAATGAAGGTATTAGTGATAACCAGTTAAATAAATCTGAGATCCTAATAGATATATACCACTGGTGTCTTCTGTATAGTTAAAGGTAATACTAAGTTTATGCACATTGTTCGGGAACTCAGTCATTTATTTTCTTACTTTATGGGTGCTGTGATGCCTCATAAAATTTCATATTAACAGTGTCTCCTGCTAGGAAAATAACATGGCAGTTAAGTTAATTTACATTTTTCTACTGCAGATATTTAGCTTTGCATATTTGTGTCACTATGTATATTTTTATCCGTTTTATAGAACATCCTCATGGACATTAATGAATTGGAGTGGAGAAGCAGGTTGTGACCTGATATTTAAATATGATTTGCATACTGTTTCAGAAAATGAAGGAAGTTTAGGGCTGTTTTAGAAGTATTAGAGACAGAGCTGTGTAGCAAGGCATGGCAATTACATGGAGGAACTTGTACTGCTGTTTTTCTTCCTCGCCTCCTTGACCAGAGCTACCAAGAAGCCTGAGGTCAGTGCTCAGGAGAGAGAATCTCGCTGACCTGATCCTACGCTTGCTTGAATCTGTAAGATTTATGAGAGAAGAGATCTTGTTGGTTTTGCTTACCACAGAGCCTGACACATACATTAGCAATTAAAAAAATACTTGTTAACTCATTAACTTGGATAAAATGCAATGCAATCCATTTCTACTGCTTTAGAAC